CGCATGCACCAGGGTTTACAAAGGGTGTCTGCGCATTTTACTTGGGCGTGACGGTGACTGCACTTTTTGTGAGAAACTGCTGTTTTCGGACAACTATCACCATGTCTTTGTCCTGCGCAGAATACTTTCAAACTGCAATATCCCAAGGAAAGAGCACGCCTTGCGCCATGCTCAAATGCCTTACGCACCCACCTCCTTACCCCCATCCCCTCCACTTGTTCCGATCTCCGAGGTCTGGAGTATGTGTAGCCATCGTAAGAAGGAAAATTGAGCATTACGAGAATTTTCAGTCAGCAATTCTTATAACTACCTGGAAGTAAACTGTAATTAACGTTAGAATGCAAGCTTAGAGGTTATAAATTATAGTTAATGGGTAGTTGTCACACTGTGAGCTCATAAACCAATTACAGGATAGTCTTAGTACGTTTTCGGATGGTAGAATCACGCAAAAGATCTGTCCCATGATGTTTTCTTTTTGAACCCCCCTGGAGGACCCATGTAGTCGTGAAGTAGCGTCAACGCAGCTCTACCTCTTCACCATTAGATCTCCGAAGATGCTGCTGTGCCCTGCAGGTTTTCAGGTGAAATATTAGGTTGGCGGGGAAGTGCTGTTACATTTCTTTAAATAGGCTTTCTTTTATAGAGAGGCGTGTAAGATCAAAATTATACAGCAATGTTACTGCGGGGTTCTTGCCAGTTTTTGAGCACCTCATGGATGCCATCGCTTCACAATGCAGGGAGGCGCGACGCAAAGCATCATCTCAATCTTGACTTGAACTCAGGTTAGGGAAGTTTTCTCGTCCACATAACGTCTCGTACGGGGAGCAACTACGCTACCTAGACTGGAGCAAGTGCGTGGCTACATCACGCGGCAAGGGGAGAGCACGCCAGCTCTATTGGCATGAAGGTGATGGGCTCGAAACTTTTTTGGACCGGTGAGCGCTCACTATCATCGGTCCTGTAATGATGAGGGCGGATTTTTCCCTCTGATCGACGGTACGCTTTAGATCTCGTAGCTGCTTTGCGCATTGACCGAGGAAGCAGCTTCTTCATCCAGCACTTTCACGACCCGCAGCTCCCTCAGTCTGAGTTCACAGGTAACCCAAACCTCACTTCGTCATCAAAACTGTAGGCTCCCGCTTTGAAGCATTAGCGTCGTGGAAGGTTGTCCGATAATTGAGGGCATCGTCCTTATTCAGCTCCATTATTTTGGCATCTGCAGCTATCATGCTGGCGTCAGGGTGGTGGAAGAAAGAGTTTGAGGAAGCTTGGAGGGGTCGGTGCCGATGGTAGCGGATAAATCCTTGTCCATATTGCAGAAGAAGAAAGCAGGAGTCAAGCGAGTGGTACTAATAGAAAGACCACTCCTTGATGTATAAGTGCTCACATTACCGGTTACCCCTCTTCAGGTAATGGGCAAGTATTTTGAGTTCGAAAAAGTATGACAGAACTTTTTCCCCAGTCTAATATTTTATCTAGAGTATTTCAGAAGCAGGAAGTGAGCGCTACCCCGGTGCTACATTCGTAAGTTGAACAAAGGCATAGTTTCCGTTGTTCTCGAGGGCGGAGTCGGCCTCACATTCCGCCTTACTCGCTTCTGCATTTTTCATAAGAGAACATGACGGCAATGGCAGGCTTGACATCATCCGAACACGAACATCATGAACTAGACCTTGTTAGCCCTTCTCTCTTACTGGGACATTTGCTGCCATGGAAAAGCTCCTTGGTTAGCCCGAACAGGCTAGGAACTTCTTTATTATCGTAGTGAGAATTTCCTCAAAATGTCCATTGTGGCTGCTTTTTCTTCCCAATACAACGCTTGTTGACAAACGGAGATAGACCTAGTAACAACAGAAAAACAACTGTGATATCACCGACGAATTGAGGGTCTCAATTTCCAAGTTTTTACGCCATCGTTGATGTATTTAAAGGGTTTTATTTCAAACGCAAAGTTTCCCCCGCAGATGACATTTTCATAGAAATCCAAATAGTTCCATTTCCAGCAGCAGACGACGATACGGTGAGGGAAACTCGGAAATTGTAACGAACCCAAACTGAAAAAGCTCATCCTTGACGTGAGTTCCCAATCCCTGATGTTTCATGAAGCAGGCGGTGTAAGATCGGACCATAAATTTAGAACATCAAAACTGACGCTCCAACGTCCAAACGTGCTATTCAAAAAGCTGCTGAATCGGAATATGGTGGAACGTTTGACGTAATTTGCAGCCCTTGTGAATTTTCCTTCGTTATCAGTTCCCAGAAGTACTGCGACGGCATCAAAGATGAGGTATGTTTACGCACTGGGAAAAAATTCAGAATCCACACCTAATTAGACGAGTATTAGCACTCAATTGAGCACATAATTGGGCAAATCAGTGTTTTTTTTTATTCTGCCGGACAACCTGGTAGGAAATGAATAGGAAGGTATGGAAGGGCCAGGCAGCAGGCGGAAGTTTCAGAAACAGCAATGCTGTCCAGGAATCTCCACCTGAAGGTTAACTAACAAATAACGAAATGATAATTGGTAATAATGAGGCAGTCACCCCAGTCACCTCACCACTGATAGCTAAACAGTAATTTATTTAATCATACATACAAAGAAAATCGAGTTCATGGTGCACTCCTCCAGAGCTCACCAGGACAAATCACTTTCACTCTTCAAGTATTGTGGTCATAACTTACGAGTTCTATTTTTAGATCGCATGTTTCGTCTTCCTTCAACCGCCTACGATTCTCCCTTGCTGAATAAGTTTTCATGCTTTCCCATCAGGACCTCTAATAAACGTTATGGTCAGTAGAAACATCACGTATATTGGTCTACTCCCAATTTCACAAGAAAAAAAAATACTAGTTGCAAATCTAAAGAAATACCAGTATAATCTGATTGGCATGTGCCCCACGGGAATCGCAAGGGTAGACTTGCGGCGGCATGAAGCGGCTGAGGCCTGCAAAAGCGCAGAACAAACAAAATAGCGCTTAAAGCCACACCAAGCCTTGACCTAAACAATCGCTCCTGTCGTATCTATAATAATTTCAAGACAGCTCCCGGGGATTAAGTGTCATGGATGTTAGCTTTTCAGCATATGAAACTAGTAGCTGATAGTATCCCCAAAGGAGAAAAAGCAAGATAATCTTACGATGAACACCAGTAAACAAACCGCTCTCTGAAGTCACACCCTAGGCCGGCTGTTGCTACTATGCACCCTGGCCACAAATCCCTTTATCACATTCCAGTAGTGATATCATCTATGCAAAGAAAAGGAATAATGAAAAAACATCAAAACGTGGGGGGTGACAGGGGGAAGCGAATTGTAAGCGACAAGAACATCTTGAAAAGGAAAACGAAACTTCAAAAGCTTGGCGTCCGAATTTAGGGTTACGGTAGCGTGCATCCTTTAGTGTAGTGCGTCCAGCTTTTGCAACACGAAAACTGGGTCGCTCGTGATTTTTCCGCCTTTTACCTTGCAAGATGGGTTGGAGTTGACTATATGTGCTGCTAATGAATAAAATTGTTAATAAGGAGAGCAGAATCTATTCATCAGGACGAGGACTATCACCCAAAAAGCTCATGTATAATTCGATAATGCAAGCCGCCCAAGAAAGACACCTGAGCGGCCTTCGTCGAGTGAGGGATCAAGCCAACGCCGGTCCAAACTGGTGTTAGAGAATAGAACTTTCAGATGCTTGTAATGTAGCTGGCGCTTTTCACTTCGCTGTCAGTCAACGAGAGTGGCGCTCTCTAAGCATGGAGCTGTACTACATTGCAAAGGAAGGCGACCTGTACTACTTTGAGCGCCGGGGGCTGACTTTAACTGTACTCTACTCAAAAGCACGAAAATTCAGTAACAACCCGCCAGAACTGACCTTGTGCTTTTTTCGAAGATGAGCACTTGAGCTACCATAGTTCTCTGAACTCGGGTCTGCAGAGATCGGCTACTGGTCTAAGCTTGTCTGAGGTTCGGCGGCATTAATTCGTATGTGGGAGCCGGGTTACAGATAACGGCCGCTTTGGAAAAACTATATGTCTAGAGAGGTCACTCAATTTCACACCAGGGTCGAGACGCACGTGCAGGATTGGCTAAATGGGATCGTTGCAAGGAGGGAGTACGACTTAATGAAATTTTTCCAGCTGTTGAGCTGTGATTAGCGTCTTCATGGCGACAAGCTGCGTACCTTCCTCTTTTTCCTTTTTGGTCGGGGGGAACAATGCGGAAGACATCGGTATTTTTCATAGTGACAGAGAGCTTTGTATCTCTGCTTGCACCCCCCACCTCCAGAGAACAGTTAAATAAACGGGACCCATAGAGTATAAAAAGTTCCTGCACACAATGCTTAGCACTGTCTACAAACACTTTCACTGTGAGGGCGTGGAATTGGACGCTATTGGGGTGGTCCACCCACATATGAAAATGCGATCAAAGTCGGCCAAAATGTGCGTGAAACGCTGCCCTGGCTGCCCTACTGTTCAAGCGACCTTCACAAGTGCCTATGGCTTGCCAGGATCATGACTGTAATTATACCCCCACGCAAATGTTGCACATTCGACTCAATTCATAGGTGATTCAGCGCTTTGTTACTCACTGATGTGGTGTGGTTTAGGCATCATCACCGACCAGCCTAGTCTGTGGGCGTTTTTGGTGAAGAGGGTTCGCAATCGCATCCATCACTGGGAAACCATAGCATTTCTGGTACTAGAAACATCTTGAGACCTCATGTTGTTCCTTTACCTCTGGGGTAACAAATACCCCAGAGGTCTTCAAGAATTGGAGGTAAGAAACCGACGATGGGTAGCGTCAGTTAGACTCTTTTCTCTCTTCCTCTTATTCGTTGATGGTAGTCCTACCTGGGAGAACAGTGGAGGAAAGGAACAAGATGTACGGGAACTGCACTGAACGACCAATTTTCCTCATCAACATCTGGTCCTTATGCGTCAGTGTTGTCTTCAGACCCACGACACGTTGAACCTTCGAAATCCGCCACCGAGAACTTGTATCAATTGCTGTGTGTGTGTGGGGGGGGTTCAAGAAAAAATTTCTCGAGTTGTGCCTTTTCGTTCGCTTTTCGTTTCACGCTGCGTCAATATAATGCCTGCGCCTTCGACGTGGTCCTCGAGAAAAAAATGAGGAAAAATTGGGGGATCGGGGACTTTGGGTAAGAAGAAACTGGTGAAAAACGGAAAATAGAAGGAAACTGGTGAGAATTATGCTTAGGAAGGTGGTGGGTAGAATGGAGAAAGGGAGCAGCCACATCGAAGGGAGATATTCTAAGGGAGGGAGTCGTATTTTGCCAAACTTCTATTCAACGGCAGGATCTGCTCTGCTCGAGACAATCTTATTACCGAAAAAAATGCGCTGCACAACAACTACACCAGAAAATATTCCTTTTATTCGAACAATACAATGATTAAAAAATAGTTCTGTGACATCTGATGTAATACATATATAGATCTAAAATAATAACATCGGTAACGGAAACCTGAAAGAATCTAATCTGATATCGAGCGCAAAATGAAAAACTAGCGGTAGCTATCTATATTAAGCGAGTCGAGCAGCCATTTGGGAACACAAATCTGACCCTGGTGAGGGAAAATTCCAGATCTTAGCAAAAAAAAACTAAAAAAATAGTTCGAAAATGGCCAGATTTTTGGTCAGCAAGGGGCTGCGCGGTTGGATAAACCATGATCATATAAAAAGTAACATCGTGGAATATCGTAATTTTTAAACCAAAAAATACAGAGTCCACACACAGGGGACATATGCACACACACTCACTCTCATACATACTTTCAAGAGAAAATATGAAAAAAGCAAAAAGAAAAAATCGAATAAATATGTAGGTACAAAAAAGCAGCCATTGACGGCACCACGAAAGATACTGGGATTCTGTAAGGATCATGTACTGGCGCAACGACGAAAAGCAGCTCAAACATACCAGCCTTTTTTAACCGGAAAAACTGAAAACTTTACACAAGAGGAGCCTTTTAGCGATCATCTGGTACTGGTATATCCGAGCTACATAACTATCTCAAAATACATATTAATATGCAATCTTATTAGATACCGGTGACACACCATATAAGAAAGATGAACGATTAGCGTAACGCGAAGAGATTAACCGACGACAAATATACAGTATTTTCGCTTCCAGAAAGATAAATCGATAAACCGAATATTGGTTAGAATACATATAGCAACATAACAGCAACGGTACTAGTAGATACATTCCATATCCCGGAGATGGGATGGGCGTGTCGGCGCACTTCGTTTGTGCGTGAAGTAGGATTCGTTTTACGTGGAATATTTCCTTTTAGGGCAAGTGTCATCTTGTCCTGCTAAACAGAGATTTGACCACAGTTGCCCCAAAATGGCAATATGCCACAAAAGGCGCAGCCGCGGAGTACGCAGCCACGCCCACCGCATCACTGGGATATGGAATGTATATCATTGTAAGTCTCGTAGCACGAAGTACATGCCTGGATGGATGGGTGTGGACGGGGTGACGAACAATGGAACAAGAATGATTGTGATGATGATGATGATGAAGATGATAATGATAATAAATGGAAGGATAATGATTACGAGAATACTTTCTACGATCTATGTACGTAAACGCTCTTAACACCGGCAGTCACGGATATAAAAGGCTGGAAGGTAGCGTAAATAAGAGAAATCTCATGCTGAATAAATTAAAATGAAGCATGCAGCAAAATAATCAGATTTACATTCATCGCGCGCTACGACATGACAACGCCGTGACATACGTCAACACGACGACTGGTAGATTTATCGTAAGACACATGCGTTGTCTATCATGCGGCAATGAGACGAACGTCATCGATCAATAAATCAATAACGTCCAGGTTTGTGCGCAAGCGTTTCACATCGAATATGGATTTTGTTGCGAAGAGCTGCGTTGAAGTGCGAGTCAGAGAAAGCGTGGCGTCGACATCAAAAGGCAGCGCCCAGAGAAGCAGACACAGCTATGCGTCTCTGACAAGCATGAATTTTGATGAAATGTAGAGCTTTCGGATTTTTTGAGGTAGCATTACGTGTTTTCGTGGGTAGAACCTAACTGTAAAGACTTGCGCGCATTAAAATTAAGGCACAAGAAATCAGGCACGATAACTACGACATGGAGAGGGAGGGGTATCGATATCGATCGGTGCAGCATATCCAATATCTACAATGTGTACATCGGGCTCAACGAATAGAACACAACTGATCTACACATTCAGATGAACGGGCAGAGAACAAAAATAGAGAACGAGAATTCGGGATTTAGTAAGTAAATGCAACTAAGGTTAGGTAAACATTTTCCATTAAAAACTAGTTAAACAAGCACAAAACAACGTCTTGGTTATTATTATAAATGATAATAGTTATTCTGGGTTATTAAACGAATGAACTGCTTACGCACACAGATAATAGAGGGAGGGACTCAGTTCCTCGACAGGTATTTTTGACAACGAAATTTCTCTTGCAAAGCATGGCCATCGGTTTTAAACCAACGACTCGTATCGTTCGAAAATTAGAAAAAAAATAGAATTGACAGAATGGCGCAGTTATATGGCTAACTGCAAGTAGCTCAAGGCGAGTCTTTTCCAAGTATTTCTGGATTCAAGTTCACTTCCCATCAATTGTTTCACTGGGCATTGCTCAACTGGGCGAACACCGGCAGACGACCAGGAGTTCTTTCCCATTTCTCGTCAAACGTCAACGACATGATGTCTCCGATAAGCCCATTCA